CACATTTGGGGATTCTGCAGATTCCCTTCAGTTCTGGGTCATTTTGTCAGGATCTACAGCACTTATCATACAGTGGGTGAGGATCAGCTGCTGTGCACCCGGAATTTTCTGCATCGCTACAGCCTGACCTTCGACACGGCAAGGGGCTCGCCGACCACCGTGCGAATGCCTTGCCCAGCGGATCTGCTGACTTCGCTGAAGAAGGCGATGGCATGGTTTGGGATTGAGCTATGATTGAGCTAAATTGCTAAGGCAGATGATCAAGCTGTATTGATGCACAAACTTGAAAGCATCCATCAAACGTCTTATTTGTCTGTCGGATGGATGCATCGCTCTTCATTTTGACACGGCCTCAACTCGGTTTGCCATGAGTGGAGGGTTCCGAGCACCAGCTTCACCGGGTATTTCACTCATGACTTGCACCCTCCCCAGTTGGAATGAACCTGAATCAAGTTTCCAATATGTTCCAATAAATTGGATACCAGTGATACCCAGTGATCAAACACAAGAGAGGGAATCTCAGACCTCCAGGCTGTGTCAGCTCCGTTGAAAATCTCAGGTCTTCCATGGATGCCAACCGGCCGCGGCCACTGCCCTGCGCGACTTTCTGAGGGATGGCCAGAGCCATGGGATGATCCATGACGATCCATGATGATCCTTGATGGTGACTGGCCTGACTGGCCTGACGGCAAAAGAGGCATTGCTGCAGCGCGACAGCGTTGATATTCCTTGGCATTCCTGGAACATTTGGGAAGCCACACCCATGCATTGAGATTTCCGTAAACTCCAGTTGGATCCCTAAATGTGTCATATTTCATGATATTTCATGATTCATTTCAATATATGTCAATAGATTTGACACAAAAAATGGTATATGTCTTTTTTGATTGCTGTTGGTATCTGTTGGTCATGTTTTCTACATTTCCTCCCAGGAGATGGGCCGAAAGCTTGGTCAAGCCGAGCGAGCGAAGGGAGGAGCCGGGGAGCCGGATATGGTGGGCGTCCTGGATGCTTCGCATGGCCCAGGATACCACAAAAAGGTGGTACCCTCTGGTAATTTAACATAGCTATTGAAAATGGCCATTTATAGTGAGTTTTCCCATTAAAAATGGTGATTTTCCATAGCTATGTTAAATTACCAGAGGGTAAATGATGATATAAAAGTTCGCAACAGAGAGAGAGATATATGAGAGATACTGAGATACTATATATATATAACACCAAAAATGAGGGCAATTGACAGGGAAATTAGGGAACAGTTTCGGATTGATGTTTGTGGTGTGGCTCGTGAAATCTTTCTCCATGCTCATGTATTCACGATATATTTGCTTCTAGTAAGGCTTCACTTGGCGCATCCGCGGGTTCTTGCGCCAACCGAATTTGTTGGACCATTGACCTGGAGATACTAGCAGTTACTAGCAACAAAAATCAGGATGATCCAATTCCATACAATCCCACCTTCCATCTTCCCCAGGGTGGCATTGTGAAACTCACCACAGCAAGGACAAACCCTTCGAATCTTGACGCCCGATGAGCTCCAAGTGGCGGTAGGGTGCTGAAGTGCTGCGTAATGGTTGATTCGGTGAGTTCTTTTGGCTTCTATTGACCTTTGGGAAAGGATAAACGTGGACAATTGTGCTACATACCGGTTATCTCATTGCCGCGACAACGTATTACTTGGTTCTGAATTTCTGGGCAGCACAGCGGACAAGAATCTAGTGCACATTGGGTCCATTGTGCTCCCAGCTGCCCTGGTATATCCCCTGCCCGTGGATCATCAGGATGTCAGCCTAGGATGCTTCATCCTCTGAGAAGCCCTGGCAAAAAAAATTGTCTGGGCCGGTTATGTATAATTCACACGTGTGTGCCTGTTCTATCTCGCTCCGCATTTCTTCGCCCTGCAATCTGCCAGTGACCTGCAGGTCGCACGCGCCATCCGCCCGGACGGCCGGGAGTCGGGTGTCCAGTTTGCGCAAAAGCAGAGCCCAACTGTAGAAAGATTAGAAAGGCATGCGGGGATGGAGCATGGCATGCATGTCCAGATGTCCGGATTCTTTGATCTATTTCTTTCTCAAGGATGCTGAGAGGGAAGGAAACGCAAACTGTTTGAAAGATGGGCACTGTAAAGGGTCAAGCTCGCGTAAATACGGACAGTGTAATTTTCAACAGTTTTTGGTGAGCTGGAAAGGCATGCGTTGAGAGGATGCTGTACTTATCTGGGCCGTTTTTCACTTTCGGCAGTTATGTGGCGAGGGCATGGAAACATTCAGAAATCCATATGATCTGCAGGAAGTACAGCATCATAGATATCATAAAACAGAATTCATAAGGCATCATAAGGCCGAAAAGTTCAAGCGCCAAGGTCGCGTTTGTATGGTGCACTTCTTGCAGTGGCCATGGGCGGCTGCCTCAGAGCCGATGCTCACCGGCTAATTCGTTTGTCCTTAAGGGGGGAAAAAGCAACAGCTTCCAGAGGAACTTACTGTAAATGTTAAACCATTGAGTGGTTCACTCCTCTGCCATCTTCTGCACACTTCAGGTTGGTGGCACGAAGTGCACGGTGACGAGAAGCTTTTTGCCAACGCGTCTGGTGGCACAGTTGCTTTGGGCCTGGCAGTTGGGTTGATGCCACCCGCTACACACCTGCACTGGGTGATGTTTGGATTGTAGGTTGGCATAGGTTGGCTTCGAAAATGAATGAAAATTATACAAACAGCATCAACCAGCTGCTTCGCTCGTTGAGCAGCTCAGCGAAGTCTTTGCTCAAGGAATTTCTCGGAAGCAAAGCTAGACCTGCTGAGGTTGGGACGAGCCGCCATTTCTTCGTGCGAACCTTGGAGAAGCGCGTTCTTCTGATTGTTTGGCGACGTTGTTGGCAGCCTCCATGCGGCCACTGTGCAACGACAGCAATGGGCTCTCGGGCTTGATGTTTTTTTTCATTTGATATCTATTAATCTATTATTTCATGATATTTATCATTATGATCATTGCTTGGGGTCTTGTGGTTGGCTTTTTTTCGGCACAATGCCCATATTATGTTCCTGTCATTTTATTTGCCTTAAAAGAGGTCGGTAGGCCAGTTGAGTAGAACAGTGGCCCGCGGATGATCCTCCAGCCACCATGAATGATGAACTGGATGACAGATGAGTGTGGACGCTACGACCACGTTAGTCACCGTTAGTCATAATATACAACTGTACTGTAAGCATCTGTAAGCATCTGTAAGCATCCTTTTTGTTCAAATTGGTCACATGGGCAAAATATGGCAAAATTGTGCAGGGAACCCCGATGTTTGATCCGGAAAACAATGGTTTCTTGTTCTGTAAATTTTCCCCAGTGAATTTATTAAAGAAAAACACTTTTGCCCAGGAGGCGTGAGCTCGGGGCATTGGACAGTTGTGTCAGGCATGGCAGGGCTGGCATGCGAAGCGATCGTATGAGCTGAGGACATTTGACCTGAACCCACCTTTGTCCGATCAGCTCTGAAGGCTTCTTTGCTAAAGACATGTTAAGACCATGCTGCCCATCGGCCACATCCAAAGAGCAAGTTGATAAATACGTCAAAGTTGCAAAACATTGCCACCGTGGCGGCTATGCAATTTGCATCAAGCAGCCCATTTTTCACCCATTGACACATTGTTTCGCGTTTCGCAGCGTTTCGCAGCGTGCCCCGAAGAGGCCCGCTCCCTTGCGCCGCATCCGGCAGCTTTGGGATGAAGGATGCGAGGATAGCTTCAAGGTTGGACCAGTGACAGCCATGGCCCATGAGATCCATTGAGATCCCCTGAGAGCCAGGCCTCAGGTGTGGTGCTAATGGACTTGGACCCAATGCCTGGACCCGGAACGGGATGGAACTGGTGATCCTGGTGGATTCGCCGAACCCCAACATGGCAATTGACATATGTTCAAAATTTGGATGATATGGAACATGATGGTAGACTATGATAAACCATTTATTTTTGATCACACCCTGGCTACGGGAAAGTTGGCTTATGATTCATGATGATTTTGATGGTCAACTCTTGGCCCACGATTTGGCAACATCCACAGGACTGTGGGAGAAGTTGGCAGAGATTTGTAGGGCCAAAATCTCAGGTGCTAACTGTGGCCAGAGTAGAGCAGCCTCATCATTTTGTTGTCTAGGTCAGCCTGGGATGGGTACTTTAACACTTTAATCTCATATTTACTAACCATTTAGCCAAATGTATACATACATGCATATATTCATATACCATATATCAACAAATGTATGTATACTGGATTTGTGCAGGGTATCCAAGATTCGTATACATACATCCATGCATGCATGCATGCATACCTACCTACCTACCTACCTACATACTTACTTACTTACTTACTTACATACTTACATACTTACATACTTACATACATACTTACTTTACTTACTTTACTTACTTACTTACTTACTTACTTACTTACTTACTTACTTAACTTACTTACTTACTTACTTACTTACTTAGATGTCAATATATAATATAACTTGTCGTGAAATGAAGCTCCAAATGTGACATTTGTGTTTGTCCCAAACGAGCATAGGTGGTGCAAATGAGGGCATGTTCTTGTAGTATGAAAGCATGGCAGTCTCAAAAAGATCATTCAGCGCCCAAGCTGTTTTATCTCCTGAAAATCCTGCAATCTGGAGCAATAGGATGCAAGAGGATCTTCACACAACAACACGGTTGTAGCGAAATCGGTAGAGAAAGTTTTAGTTTGAGGCAGACACGCATGCGATGCTTCAATCAGACATCATTCTTCGGAGTCCATTTTACATGTTAGACATCATGTCAGTAAAATTCCACAGTTTCAAAGCGTGCCATCTGAGAATTTGTGATGAATTTTCACGAGAATTTTATATTTTAGTAAAATTACCCTCTGGTAAACTAACATAACTATGGAAAATCACCATTTTTAATGGGAAAATCCACTATAAATGGCCATTTTCAATAGCTACGTTAAATTACCAGAGGGTAGCATTCTTCGCATTCTTCCTCCAGTGCAGTGGCGCACCAATGGCCATGCTGGCGCCGGCCATCCAAGCTGTGGCCGCATGGCCATGCCATGCGGATGCAGCGGCGCAGCCCAGCCAGCCACGTCGACGTCGAGCCCAGCAGGTGCAGAAGTTCCAGGTCAGGGGGAACAAAAACAATGAAAAACCATGGGAAATCATGGGAAAACCATGGGAAATCATGGGAAAACCAGAATGTTGATGAAGGTGTATAGGTGTTCTATGCCTCTCTGGATTTCTACTGAGACACCAGATTTCTTTGTGGAGGAAACGTGCTGGATGTTTAGCTGCAGGCGAGGGGAGGATATTTGGCAAGTGCGGGAGCCCTGGTGGCTTCTTGCAGAGCCAGGAAGGTGGGGCACCGGAGCAGCTTTTGGGATCCCTACCCTCTGAAAAATGAAATTTGAGGGGGGGAGTCGTATTGAATTTTCATTTTAAAATTCCATAAAATTGCATTTTTGTTCCTCAATGATCAACATTCCTCGTCATTCCATATCATTGGCAAGCAGATGAAAATTAAATACTTGCGCTTAGCTCTGGAGGAGCTAAGCACATGTCAGACTGAAGCAGCACATGTGTAGGGGTGGCATCCCTCCAAAAATTGCGCTGCTGTCATCATACTTGTGCTTAGCTCCTCCGGAGCTAAGCGCAAGAATTGCCCAAGGCTTGTTAAGAAATGTATAGACATGTTATTTTTAAATATCGTTTGAGGCGTTGGATCACTATCCCAGGGTTTCCAAGCAAAAAAAAGTAGAATTCGACAGGTTGGTTTTGTCCCCCCCGCCCTCCCCCTCCAAAGGGGTAGGGATCTTTTGGGTGGTGATGGTGGTGAAGGTCGCAAATTGCGGCGGATGTTGGTTTCAGCCTCAGAATTCAATAAATAAATGAATGAATAAATAAACACACACACGCACACATGCGTGTGTTGGATGGCGATGGAGAGAGAGAGAGAGAGACATGCACACATGTATATATATATATAATATATATAATATATATATAATATATATATAATATATATATAATATATATATAATATATATATATACACGTATATTTATTTACAGTGTATATATATATATTATTACAAGTATTCGCCTGTATATCATATCATGGCGTGGCATATCTTGGCAACATGACATGATTTCCAATAATATGCAGCTTTTAGCTGGGTCCTTGAACCAGCTGCTGTTTCGTGGCCCTGGACGCTGTGCGGCTGGATGTAGGTAAAACAGGTCTGGCGGAAGAGTCATCTGCCAGCAGAAATGTATAGTTTCATTGGAGACCATCCACTTGGGAAGTTCAGCTCAGGGATTGGGTGCTTTATTTGCCGGTTTCGTGGGTTGATGACTGATTCACTGTCAGGCACATTTTCTTCGCTTACGAGCCACAAGCAGCACCATCCTGAAGCTCGGATGATATATTTGCTGGCTCAACAGAGAAATGCCGAAATGGCTCCCCCAAACACATGGTAACACGGATTTACGCAACCGTGTGTTTTTGACATCCATGTCCCAAAACGCCTCACGTTTTTGTCATTTTTTCAATGAGCAATTTCTACATCAGACGACGAAAAGTTTCAAGAGCCTTTTTTTTCATCTCGCATGTGGTCGTCATGTCTCACTTAGACATGTTGTGGCGATAGATCCACTGATAGATTCTATCCCAGAATCTAGCATTGATGGTTGGGCCAGTGCGGTTCTTCATCTGACTGGTTCCAACAACGATCAATCTGTTGGATTCCTGCAACTTTCATCTTTCCTCGCACTCGCACCTTCCGAGTCCATTCACTACGCATGTGGACCGCCGACTTCACAACGTAGCAAGCGTGCAAGAACGTTACATCAACGTAGCATGACGTAGTTCCGCAAGCGTACATGGTTACACGGACGTTATTAGATAGATATAGATACATATAGATACATATAGAACGTACATCAACTTAGATACAGATTGATATAGATAGATATAGATAGATGGAGATCGATTGATAGAGAGAGAGAGAGATAGATAGATAGATAGATAGATAGATAGATAGAAGATAGAGGTAGATAGAGGTAGATAGAGATAGATAGAGATAGATAGAGATAGATAGAGATAGGTAGAGGCAGATAGATTGATAGATGGATAGATAGAAAGATAGAGATAGAGATAGAGGAGATAGAGATAGATAGAGATAGATAGAGATAGATAGAGATAGATAGAGATAGATAGAGATAGAAAGAAATAGATAGATATAGATAGAGAGATAGATAGATACAGATAGGTATAGATGGAGATAAATAAATGGAGATAGATTGATAGAGATAGAGAGAGATAGATTAGATGGATGGATGGATGGATGGATAGATAGATAGATAGATGGATAGAGATAGAGATAGATAGATAGATAGATAGATGGATAGAGATAGATAGATAGATAGATGGATGGATGGATAGAGATAGAGATAGAGATAGAGATAGAGATAGATAGATAGATAGATAGATGGATAGAGATAGATAGATAGATAGATAGATAGAGGTAGGTAGAGATAAATAGAGATAGACAGAGATAGATAGAGATAGATAGAGATAGGTAGAGGTAGATAGATAGATAGATAGATAGATGGATATATAGATAGATAGAGATAGAGATAGAGATAGAGATAGATAGATAGAGAGAGATAGATACAGATAGATATAGATAGATATAGATAGATATAGATATATACAGGTTAACATAGATACTTATAGACAGATACAGATAGATATAGATAGATATAGAGAGATATAGATAGATATAGGTAGGCAGAGATAGATTGATAGAGTCTTAGAGATATATCGATAGATAGATGGATGGATGGATAGAGATAGAGATAGAGATAGAGATAGAGATAGAGATATAGATATAGATAGATAGATAGAAAGATAGATAGATAGGTAGATAGATAGATAGATAGAGAGAGAGAGAGATAGAGAGATAGGGAGATATGTATATACACTATACTTTACATATATAATCATATACACACAAATATATACATACAGCATCCGACAGAATTATGGGAAAAACAAGGTTACAATTGACAGGCGCCGCCTGTCTATTTTAGACTTTTTCCCCCATAATTATTTCTTCCCATAATTCAGTCGGCTGGAACACGCCCATCAATTCGCAGTTTGGATGCATTTTAAGGGGTAATTGGGGAAGATTGAATTATGGAAAACATGCGTGTGTCTGAAAATCAAATATATCGTATACCCAAAGCAATTTTCTTACCTATTTCAGCCTTTTGCCATTGGTTTTGAGCAGTCCAACCTATTTCAGCATATTTTCATTGGTTCTCGTCACTTGCTCAACATATTTCGGCATTTGACCATGGTTTTCATCAGTTTTTCAAACTATTTCATTATTTTTAGCATTGGCTTTCATCAGTTTTCTGACTTATCTCACTATTTTACCATTGGTTTTAAACAATTTTCCAACCTATTGTAAAAAGGTCTTGCACCACTGGTTTCAAGCAATTGTCCAATCTATTTCAGCATTTTCCCACTGGTTTTCAGCTGTTGTTTCACAGAGTTCACCATACCGCGGAGTAGAATTCCGGGGAAACTATCCGAGTCGAATCAGCGTCACAGTGCAGCGTCCGGAATCTGCCATCTCTACTGTCCGGATCCAAACCGTCACCGATCCAACCAATACCCTCTTACTATACGATTTTCATTTTTTGTTTCAATTCAGTTTCATTCATTTTGGCATAGGTTTTCGTCAGTTTTTCCTCCCGTTTGTTCGCAACCTGGATCTGACCGGCTGCCCTACGATTTCTTTTTTTCTATAATTAACTTTTCCTGGAAATGGTCGTCCCGGATGACCAATCCCAATCTGTAAAGAAAAGTGCACACATTTGCTGATCAGGTATCCTAAAATATGTTTCATTCTTTTACCATTGGTTTTTAAGCACGTTTTCAACCTATTTCAGCCTTTAAATTTTGCCATTCGTTTTAAACAATTTTCCAACCTATTTCATCCTTTTGCCATTTGTTTCAAGCAATTGCCCAACGTATTTAATATGTAAGCCTTTATTTTCCACTGGTTTTCATCCGATTTCAACTCTATTTCAATATTTTTGGCATTGACTTTCATCAGTTGTTTGACCTTTTTAATTTCTTTACATGGAAAAATCAATTTTGGAAAATCCTGGGCCCTGCAAAAAATTATGGAAAAAATCGGGTTCAGATCACATCCGGGAAATTTTGAACCCTTACGAGGAAAACCTAATTATGGAACGAAACGGAGACAGGCGACGCTCTTTCTCCATAATGCAGTCGGTTAGAATAGATATATTACATTTCTATTTTTATGTGCATATATATATACATACATATATTCGGGGGTTGCTATACCCTAATTATTTGGAGATATGTGGATACTGTATGTGGGCCACCGAACAGGATCGACGAAGCCACATCCGGAGACCTGCTCCCTGCCGCGGACGTGGCGGTGCGGGCACTGCGCTGGACGGAAGGCCGAAGTCACCATACGCTCACCTCAATATATACCTATATAATTGTATATCGTATCTATATATCTATATCAACATCTATATCAACATCTATATCAACATCTCAAATCTACTGTAATAATTTACAATAATATCTAATGTCAAATATATATCTAATATCAAATATCTAACATCTATATCTATATCATATATGGTTATCTGATATCTAATATCTAATACCTAGTATCTCATATCTAATATATATATATACATATATCTATATATACCTCTCTCTCTCTATATATGTATATATATATATTCATATACATGCATATATGGTCAGAAAAGATTATTTTATTATTGTATATATTTATATATATATATATAGAATATACGCAGGCACGCGCATATGATGATGAACACCATGGCATACATATGCATATTATGCATATGCATATGCAGATTTATATCCATGTCCATGTAATCATGCACATATATGCATAGACATGTGAATTAGAACAAGCGGCAGCTAAGAAAAATAAACTAGTTAACGTGCCACAAGAAGCTGCGCCGAGAATGGACTTAGGCCCCAAATATGAAAATCCGCTGGCTTCGCAGAACTGAAACATCCAAAGTGCACCTTTGAGAGAGGCAATTGAGGTGAAGTGCGGGATGGCAGATACTGACTGGACGGTGTATATGTATATGTATATGTATATGTATATGTAAATAAATAAATAAATATAAATATATAAATAAATAAATAAATAAAAATAAATCAATAAATCAATAGAAAAAATAAATAGATAAACAAATAAATATAAATAAATACATAAATATAAATATATAAATAAATAAATACATAAATAAATATATAAATAAATAAATAAATATAAATATATTAAATAAATAAATAAATAAATAAATATAAATATATAAATAAATAAATATATATATATATATATTATCAATTTTTAAAAGCAATGAAACCATGCTTCTCTATTGGGTCTCTTACGTAGGGTACGGGGGGTCATGTCTATAGGTACGGGTGCGGGTGCGGGTGTTGGGTGCGGGTGTTGGGTACGGGTACGGTTGTTGGGTGCGGGTGTTGGGTACGGGTACGGTTGTTGGGTGCGGGTGTTGGGTACGGGTACGGTTGTTGGGTGCGGGTGTTGGGTACGGGTACGGTTGTTGGGTACGGTTGTTGGGTACGGTTGTTGGGTACGGTTGTTGGGCACGGGTAGGGTTGTTGGGTACGGGTGTTGGGTACGGGTACGGTTGTTGGGTACGGGTATGGGTACGGGTACAGGTGTTGGGTACTGTTGTTGGGTACGGGTATTGGGTACGGGTGTTGGGTGCTGTTGTTGGGTACGGTTGTTGGTATGGGTACCGGTGTTAGGTACAGTTGTTGGATGAGGTTATGTGTGTTGGGTACAGGTGTTGGTTATATGCTTGGGTGACCTTGGGTGTGGATACTGGTGTTGCGTACGGGTGCTGGGTAGGTGTCTTTGTGTTGATTGCAGGTGCTCGTCACAGATGGAACATTGGGTGCGGGTGTTGGGTAGGGGTATTGGGCACGAGTGTTGTAGAGGGCTTGGGCTTTGTTGTGGGTCTAGGGTACCGGTCCTGTATTCTTTTTTTGCATTTTGTATTCTTTTCTGTCAGTCAGTCAGTCTGTCTTTCCCTTTTTATTTATGATTTTTTTGTGCAGCTGTAACAATATTGACCCATGGACCATGTTGGCATTTGCCACCATTGCTTTGCTTGGCCCTGCTTCGCTCTTTTTTTGATCAAGGACAGTGACTCATGACAGGGTCTGAAGTAGGTGCTTTGGTTTTGATTGCACGAGTCTCAGGGGCTTCCGTCACTTGCCGTCAGCTGAACGGTGTCCTGGTAGAGGCTCCCATTCAAATCCCTGTTGGCAGAGCAGTGACTGGTAGCTTGGTCAGGTGGCACGCACAGTGCATGCTTGATCAGGACAAAGTGAGACTCGTGGACGAAACCGGTGTGATTTTGTCTGACAATCACAAGTTTTTTAGGGAGGTGGACCTGGAGCCAGACCCTGTCCGTCTGTCCAGATCCCGGTCACGTTCGCGACAGTGAGTCAGAAACGAAATATTTTTGCTTTAGGCTTTTGGCAAGGAGGAGGGAGTTGAAAAAACTAAATCCCTGATAAGTGATAAGTAGCTAAGCCAAAACCCTAGGAAGATATGATGCAGCCATGCAGCAATGCAATTGGTTACTTCATATTCAGATTTTAAAAAAATCAGGTTCATGACTCATTCAGGCAACTTGCAACTTGCAAGCAACTTACAACTTACTGTACAACAGCCAGCTTACGAACAACAATGTTTTTTTTGCACAACTGTCAGTCAGCAGACGGAAGAATGGAGGCACCTGTGGCCCGTGCCATGGCACGCGGGCTGCACAGAGCGGTTAGGACAGCACAAAGAGACAGACACACTCATAGCCTTGTGTCGCGCATGGCTTTGGCACGCGCAGGCCGATTGTTTATGAATCATTGAGTCTGAAATTGAGTCACTGAAACTGTGAATGAAAATATGATAATATTATGATTCTGATATGATAATGATGTGATATGAGGTTACACATCATACTACTACATGACTCCATACTACATACTACTACAACATCTGCAACATCTGCTACATACTGCACAGCTCATACAATCTTACAGATACTGCTGTAGTCCGTCATACAGATACAGGCAGACAGTACACAGTACAACTTAACAGTATACCGTATACCACAGTATTAGTATATCATCAGTATAAGTATATATATAAGTTAAGTATATCAAAACCAGAATCAACATCAATCATGAATTTTAATATGTGTGAATCGTGAATAATAAATATAGTCTGGTAGGTAATTTGATATCGGATCGTAACTTGAATTCAGAGGAACATTTTCCATTGCCAGCTGCCCCTTTCATCTCTCGTGCTGAAGGCAGGAAGAGGAAACATGACGGAGTGGGAAAGGGGAAGCAAAGCAAGAAAGCAAGGCAGGGGGGCAGGGTATAGTATAGCCTATAATGATGATAGTCAATGATAGTATTAGTACTATTACAAATTGATAAATTGATAAATGTACTAGACACAGACCAGTGGCTACGCTAGACCTGCTCCTTAACAAGACTGCATGTCCATGGTCCATGTCCATGTCTCGATGCGTGCATGCCGTTCGCCAGGAAGCTCATTGAAGTTTACAACCAAGACCATGCTCTGACAAGGGCAGATCGAATGGAACTGGGTGAGGATGGCTGTCTGCGAAGTTCGACAAAAATCAAAGGTAAAGGACTGTTTTGCAGAAGTTTGGCACGGCATGTCATGGTGGTATAATTTACTGGTAGACTGGTAGGTATTTGTAAATTATAATTATATTATATAATAATAATATATATAATATAGATTATATCATATATAAATTATATAATATATAAATTCTATAATATATAAATTCTATAATATATAAATTATATAATATATAAATTATATAATATATAAATTATATAATATATAAGTTATATAATTTATAAATTATTTAATATATAACTTATTTAATATATATAGATTATATTAAAATATAAATATAATATAATTAAATTATATATTATATATAATTATATAATTATATATTATTGTAATAAATAAGATATACTTATATTTATATCATATATATATATATCAATATCAAACTATATCTATATTTAAAAACTATTTCAGACTATGTCTATATAATTACAGCTTCTTGAAGGGGCAAGGTATGTTTCGGAAATAGTGGGGGAAGTTCCTGGTTTGGCAGCATCACCCAAAACATACAGGACAATGGAGATCTTGGACCAGCGCTTCAATACTTAAAGTGGCGCCCGGCCCTTATTTCTGGATTTGCGGGGGCATGGCAACAGGAAACGTGTGGGTTCTGTGACTTGGACCTTGGGTCCTTGGGTTACATGAGTTTGGACATGGGACGTCGGTTTTTGATTTGTGCTTCCATGCGCTTCCACTTTCATTCTGTATGTTCTGTACTGTGTACGCAGTGTGACCGTGTGCAATTAACTTCTGGATTCTGTCAATTTTTCTGTAATGTAATTGTAATTTGTGATTATGTAACTGTATGTAAGTTAAGTAAAGTATGTCAAGAGTCTTGTGTGAACATGTGAGCATGCGAATGACCTCCACCACTAAGGCTGGGAAGGTCTGTTGAGCGGATGCTGAAGTGGGGGAACAAAGGGCCCAGGCTCCCGCAGTTGAAGCGCAGATCTCCAGTAATGTAGCTGGGGCTTCATGGTCAGAAATCTTGAAGATTTTCATATTTTCCATGTTTGAGAAACCTTCTAAAGTCTGTAAGCTCGTGACAAGACTGACATGAGGTGACATGACTCATGACTCATCCCTCTCACCTAGTTGAGGTTTTCTTTGAGTAGCACTGCGTATTGGCTTGGATGTGCAGCCGGAACTATCTCGAAGGTGACTTATGTGAGTATGCTGCATTCACTTCATATGTGGGTAACGGTTTGAGCGGCATCAGCAGTCTGATTTCAGAATATCATGGTTCATGACCATCAACATTTCACCTATCATATATATGAATAAATAAATAAATGTAAATATAGACTATAGTCTATAGTAGAACATTATCGTATCATCGTAGCTAAGAAATTTCAGTGCTTCTAGTATGACTCAGTATGACTCATGAAATTAAATCGAAATCAAAATCTTGGTATTTACAGAGCGAGACTCACAGTCCACCACTGCACTGCCTAGGCGAGATCCGCTGTCTGTTTGCTTTATTTGGACGAGCAGAAGAAAATTTATGACAGGATGTGTCAGGCAAGACATTGTGTTTGGGGGTCGATAATGTTTGGTGGTTGGCTAGGCTAGTCGGCATAGTTGGCACGGTATATGGAAGTATACAGTTGGATTTGTTTGTATAAAGTTTCATGGAGGTCTCTGGAAATCATTTCCGAGGAGAAAATTGCAAAAAGGGTTTGGTGTGACCCGC